ACTTTTAGCCATCCATAAAAATAACTTATTCGTTTCGAAAAAGTCAATTGTTTCTTTTTTAACGATTTTTTTTTTATTGTATTTTATCTTGTTTTTTTGTAAATAAAGCTCTTTCGGAAAATATATGCGAATTTTATACTACTGTACATATTCCGAGTGCCATACATTGAACCTTTGGATCTTAGAAATGATTAAATATATCTTACTGGCATTCTCCGAGCTTTTCATAACACTATTAAACTCTACTTTAAGAATGTATAATTACTCTCCAATCTTAAGACAAGAATCGTGATATAATCGATCATAAACAAAAATTACATTTTCATCATTAATTAATCATAGCTAAGGTTCGGAAGCACATGAAATATTGAAATAAAATTCATATATATATATATATATATATATAATTCCAGGATCACTTTCTAACTTATTCAAGATGATCTTCGCCCTCTCTAACCTTCTAACTTTCTGTCCTGGAGTAACAAGGTGCTCACAGGTTTCATGTACGATTTCATTTTCATGTCTTATGGATTGAGTTGGATCTTTTCTAATTGATCTCTTTGGCTCTAAGTTGAAATGATGATCCCTATTCCTGTTATGACCTTCTGATCCAGTTTGTTCCTCTACTATTCCCCCTTTTATTCACTGTTCTCTTGATGGTTCTTGAATAGACTTTGAAGATAGAAACCGGAGTATGCATATTGGTACCATTACTGAAGGTCATTACAGTATGCTAAGGTTTTGTTTATTTCTTATCTGTTTTAATCTATTTTTCTTCATTCTTTAGCTACAAACATTTTACAACAATAATTCGCAAACGATTCTGGATTGCGATGTTCTAGAGTTCAGGTAAGTTCTCATCGGAATTTTCATTCTTTCTATTCAGAGACCTGTTAAAAAGAGGTTAGATTAAACTTCGTTTATGTTTTTCTCATATTTTTCACACTCAGTAATCTCTTGCGTCTTAGTGGCTTTATTACCTTTCTTGGGAGTAAAATGATTATTACAATAATAATAAGAAGACGGAAAAAAAAGGAAAGTAACAATAAGTAGATGAAGATAGCCATGAAGAGGTCTGCATATAATAATAATAATAATAATAATAATATTAAACGGGCATTATTTACATTATTGGGACTATTGTCCTCAACTTTGTCGCCATATTTATTACAACGTTTCGGCCGTTGTACGCTCCAGACTTCTTCAGGTGGTTGGAATGTCAAACTGAACCCTTTATTTTGCTCACTGGGGTAGACTGTTCTAGTTCTACGTGCCATGTCTAATGGAGGTCAGTTATCAGTTATCTCCTGTTCATTTACCTCTGAAAGTTCTCCACCGGGTATTGAACGCACACTCTTTGGGCCTGTCACTGGATCTAAGAAGGCCGGAGCGTACAACGGCCGAAACGTTGTAATAAATAATGTACATAACACCTCATCTCAGAAAAACAGACAGACTAATAAACGGGCTTATCTATATCTGTCTATATTTCTGAGATGAGGTATTATGTACACCATTTACATTATTCGGACTATTGTCCTAATCTTTGTCGCCATAGTTATTATATAGCACAGTGGATAAAGGTGTTGGTTAGATCCAGTGACAGGACCCAAAAAGTGTGAGTTCAATACCCGGTTAAGGCAGTGGAGAACTTTCAGAGGGAAATTAACAGGAGATAACTGATAACTGACATCCATTAAACATGGCATGTGGAACTTGAACAGTCTACCCCAGTGAGCGAAATAAAGTCCGAAAAATGTAAATAATGGGCTTATCTATGTAAAATATGTGCGATTTTTTTAAAACTGCTCAGTGGAAAATGTCATGATGCCATTTCTGACCTTAGGTCTCTGATTGGGACCCGAAAAGAAATGAGTATACCCAAGGAACCAAAGGAATAATAATAATAATAATAATAATAATAATAATAAAAATCGAAACTACTGATAAATGGTATGATCACCAACCAGACACAGTTACCCAAAATAACGATGTAACTATCCTCAGGGACATGCCAATTCAAAATGATAGAGAAATAAAGCCAACATACCTGATATAAAAGACAAGAAATTCAGGAAGTGTATGCTTAGTGATATAGCTGTATCATCTGAGAGAAAAGCCGCCATGAAAATTATCGAGAAATTGTCCACATACAAGGACCTGGAGATCGAGATAAACAGGGTGTGGCGAATGAAGACTGAGACTGTACCAATAGTAATCGGAGCACTGGGCCTCGTGAGAAAAGGAATGGAGAATTTTACTAACAGTGTCCCAGATAACATCAACATACAAGTTGCCCAGATGATCACCCTGCTAGGAACATCCCATATACAAAGAAAAGTGATATCAATTAAATGACAATTCTCCTATAGGGTCTAAAGACCATGGTTTGGACCCGGCTCGACAGGATACAAAGCATGAAACATAACATACACAAATGATAATAATGTCTTCGACAGCAAGTGAATACTTATATGGTCATGATAGACTTTTGATATATATTCCTTGGAAGGAAATATATCACTAATACAGTACGAGACATACTGAAAACAATAGCAGGAACAAAACCAAGAATTAGTCATAAAAGACTATGAAGTCATTATCCTTTGGGATTTTACCATTCATTCTGACAGACATATAATTGTCATTTAGCCAGACAAAGCGATTAAAAAAAACGAGCTAAAATGTCTTCTCATAGATATGGCTGTGTCTTCATATAAAATATATGTTAAAGAATATGGAAGCTATTGAGATAGGAATATAGAACTAATTCCAGTTTTAATGGGTGTGCTTGGAACATCGTCGAGAAAACTGAAAAACGTTTTAGGAGAATTGGAATTGAGAGCAAGATTAGAGATCCCTAGAAAACTGCCGCCATTTACTCTGCGAGGATTCTCCCGAAAAGTTCTTGAGTTTTGTGGAGATTTATTGACACTGAATTTACAGCCTATCTCGTCGACTTCGATTACTTCAAAATATTGTTGAGGGATGTTGATAAGAATGAACCATTTGTAGATGTGTGTTATTAACATGACCACACGATTTATATTTAACGTGAAATATCACAAAATATGAAACACGAGAAGGAATAAAAACGGTTTTATAACATCAACATTTATATTTATTTTTGTGTGTACATCCGTAGAGGTTTTGGCGTTATGTCACTTTGATTTAATAATTTTTTCTGAGCTCACAAGAGTTGAATTGAATTATAAAGCTGAAAAATTCTGAATAAACTGTAGCTTTAGAAGAATATTTCAAAGAGAAAAGTTATTGTTGCTTGTTTGGAAATGCTTCGCATGTTTGTAATGTAGTTTGGAAAATTTCGTACGCACGTGCATGCGTGAATATCCTTTTAACGTCTGACCGCACATGGTCGAGACCAGAATCATTGAAGATACATCTTCTTAGGCGAATGAAGAAATGAGAGCGAGAGAGAGAGAGAGAGAGAGAGAGCAAGCTCGTGTCTGCTATTTATAATTAATGTAATCACGTGACAGAATCACGGAAAATTGGCGGGAAAACTTGACTAGGTCACCCGCTGAAAAAAATATTTGTACGTGGGCGGATTGCAACGCGAACTTGTATGTATTGACCAATTAGAAGCTGATATTTCCTGAAAAATCTGCATGAAGCTGAATAAAATTCAACACTGATAAGAAAGTGGTAACGAAATGCTAAATAAAAAAAGATTTTGGTGTTATGTTCCTTTGACTGAATTAATAAGATTGAAATATTTTTATCTGAGCTCACAAAAATTGAATGAATTATAAAGCTGAGAAATGCTGAATAAACTGTAGCTTTAGAAGAATGTTTCAAAGAGAAAAGTTCTTGCTGCTTGTTTGAAAATGTTTCGTATGTCTGTAATGTAGTTTGGAAAATTTCGTGCCTACGTGCGTGCGTGAATATGCTTTTAACGTCTGACCTCACATGGTGGAGACGAGAATCCTTTTTACAACTACATCTTGTAGCGGGAAGGAGAGAAAGAGAGAGCAGCAAGCTTGTGTCTGCTATTTATAATTGATGTAACCACGTGACAGGCTCACAGAAAATTGGCTGGAAAACGCGCTAGAGAAATAATTGAACGTGGGTGGATTGCAACGCCCACTTGTGTGTATTGACCAATAATAATAATAATAATAATAATAATAATAATAATAATGATTGCGTAGAATTAATTCCTGTAGTAATGTAGTAATAAAAATTGTACACCTCTAAAAAACTATAATTTATTCAGCAAGGATTCTCAAAATATTATGAAGCGTTTTGTTGACATCATGGCCGACACCACCTTAATAAAAGAGATTATTTATGGAATTTGAAAGTACAGGGTGGCCACCGAAAGACTGATTGATAAAAAAACAAAATAACTTTTACAAACACATGACCATCTTGAGGGTAGTAAAGTTTTGACCATTTGAATCTTGTATGGAAACATTTTTAAATCCAGTTTCAGAATCTTCTGAAGTGATGTTCTGGTGTCGCTGAGTTGAGCAAAGCGACGACGGGTAGAAACTGATGGATGCATGAGGACACTCTGTCATACAGCTTCCACCGTAGCGTCAATGTGCTTCAGACCTCTTCCCGTTTTTGGCATATGAATTTTTTGAAACCGTTTCTAAGTCTTTGATTGTCTTTCAATCATTCCACCTCACCTGCTGTCCTCTTCCGGCTCACCTTCTATCCTCTTCCGGCTCACCTGCTATTCTTTTCCGCCTCACCTGCTATCCTCTTCCGCCACACCTGGTATCCTTTTCTGCCTCACTTTCTATCCTCTTCCACCTCACCTGCTATCATCTTCCACCACACCTGCTATCCTCTTCCGCCTCACCTGCTATCCTCTTCCGCCTCACCTGCTCTCCTCTTCCGCCTCACCTGATATCCTCTTTCGCCTCACCTGCTATCCTCTTCCGCCTCACCTGCTATCCTCTTCCGCCTCACCTGCTATCCTCTTTCGCTTCACCTGCTATCCTCTTCCGCCTCACCTGCTATCCTTTTAAACCGGGAGATTAGGTTCCGAATCATGTTATCACTAGGAGATACTCCAACATTACAATGTTGCCGCTATTTTCACTGAGTTTGAATAATTGATCTTTCATTGGAATAGAGAAACTCAGTGAGTTTTATTTGTAGCCATTTCAATCTCCAAGGGATGCTCTTTAAACTGCAAAAAACCAAAAAGAAAAGAAAAGCAAGATTAAAAACGAACAAGTTATGACTTTTTCAAACCCCTCAGTTTTTCAGTGGCCACCCTGTACAGACTGTTAACACATAATAGGATATATAATGATGGAAGGGGGCTTGGAAAATTTAATACTCACACGACATCTTGAAGGTAAAACAACAGGGAAAAGAAAAATAAACCCATTACAACCTCATGTTAGCCCCAAATCGAAGGGATAGATACAGCTCCATGAGTTAACAAAACAGGACATTATTTAAAAAAAAAAAAAAATTCATTAGTCATATTTTAAATAAAAGAGATTTGAATGTTTTAGGAATAGCTTATTTCTTTATCTAAATTTTGTCTACTATTTCTTTTCTTTTTTTTTTTTTCATGAAATTTCAGACGAGACCCATCAGTTGTATCTTATCGTCTGCTTTTTGCTTCGGACAATACGTCACTTCCGCAAGTTATGGACAAAATCGTTAACCGAATTCCGAACAACAATAAAGATTCCGTGAAACTTGTTAATGTTGGGGGATTGACTTTAATCTGGCACAATCGAACGGACAAGATGCGGCAAATTGAATGGAAAGAGAAGACGACATTTTTAAGCCAGAATCAAACAGGCTTGCCTTGGGCTTGTTCAAATAACCCATGTAAGTAATTTATATCTATCCATGTATTGGAAAAACAATTTATTCAATCTTAAAAATATCGAAATAATTACATCCCCATCCATATTTAATATTGATATGAATTGAACTAAAAATATGCATAGCAATAATAATTCTGAAGCGTATATATATATATATATATATATATATATATAAACTTACAATAAATTAGGGGACTTGGAAATTAAAAAAAATGCTGTGGGAATAAAAAGTCTTCTTTTTTCTGTTATAATGCACCTGGATTTATCAGGACATTTTATACACACACACACACACACACACACATATATATATATATATATATATATATATATATATATATATATATATATGTATATATTCTTTTTTTAACTGGGGTTTTCATCATGCCTTACAACTTAATTCATTCACAAGTTTCTACTAACAATAATAATAAAAAACGTCTTTCTTTTTCCGTTATCATGAACCTGTTATCTCTTTTCATTTTGTAAACATATATATATATATATATATATATATATATATGTGTGTGTGTGTGTGTGTGTGTGTGTGTGTGTTTTTTCCTTAATCTTTAATTGGCGCTCGCATCACCCCTTGCAACTTAAAAACTATCAATAACACTCTTATTAAAAGAGAAAGTAACTTTGACGGAAGATTCTTGAGAGTGCCACTATCAAATCTTATCAAAATTTAAATAAGCACTACAGATTTTTTGAAATATCTCCTTTCCTAAAAGAAATACTCCTTTTCCCGGCCAACATACATGACCATAAAATATTATTATTATAACACACACACACACACACACACACACACACACACACACACACACACACATATATATATATATATATATATTCAACCACAAATTTGATCTAAAGAATGTCACACTAATTAAAAGAGAAAGTAACTTGAGAGTGCCACTATCAAATCTTAACAAAATATAAATAAGCACTAGAGTTTTTTTAAATATCTTTCTTTCCTAAAAGAAATACATCTTTTCCAGATGAACATACATGACCATAAAAATTATTATATATATATATATATATATATATATATATATATATATATATATACAAGTATATGATTGGTGTATACGGAATAAATTCCGAAAACCAACAAATACTATTCTTAAAAGAGTGCTCAATACAGAGTAGAGCAAATATAATTATTTATTTAAAAATTATAACATAAATATGTTATAAAATCACTACAAAATAGCCATTTTGTTTCAACACCTCTGGTGTCTTATCAAGTGATAATGTTGAATGTAAAATAAATGGTTTTCAAAGCCATATATATATATATATATATATATATATATATATATATATATATTCAATCATAAATATGGATCAAAAGAATGCCACACTAATTAAAAGAGAAAGTAACTTACTTTGACGGAAAATTCTTGAAAGTGCTGCTATCGAAACTTACCGCAATATAAATCTGCGCCCGGATATTTTTTATGGAAACAAAGCAAAAGAATTGAACTGTAAATTTTTTTTAATGCAACATTCTGGATTTCGGTTGACTGTTGCTTTACTGTCTGATCCATATTGAATTTATACATTTGTTGGTTAAAGAATGTATTGTCCCTTTTTATTTTCAAAACAACTAATATATAATTCCGTCTTCCATAGCCTCTAAGATGACTCTTGAAACCAGCATTCGATATAAACTCTGTATCCTTGATTGAGTTGATTAGATCTGTATGCACTACAACACTTTTGTATACGACGAAGTGCTTTCTCAGTTTAGATGATGATCTATAAACCATGTTGCAAACGATACAGATATTTTCACCTGGAAAATGAGGCAGGTTGGCATAATTGGCTTACTTCTAGTTGTTATGATGACCTTTCAACCTGCCTTTGGCAACAGCATGCACTCAAACACATTTCCAAGTCTTTACATTAATTGGCAAAACAGGGTGCGTGCCTCTTCGTAGATCACGCTTGGTTCATACCTGGGCCATTCATCCCTCCCTTATAAAGTGCCTTCACTCTGTTCGAATCAACGTCTGTTCTTCCCAATGCTGCATATCGATGTGCAATGCATTCAGATTATCCATCTAATTATCTTTAAACCTCTTCCGCGGCTTTTGTTGTAGACGTTTACCTGTCTTCAGTTTGTTTAATTTTATTCTGTTTTATTTATCATTCTTCTTCCTGTAAATAATTGTGTGGATAGGTCATTACGTAGAATAGCTCTATTCCAACAGTTATACTTGCAGAAAGTTATAGCAAAAACACTGTCAATGAATTCCTATAGTAAAAAATCATTTGCAATGCATTTCTATAGTAAAAATAATTGGCAATGCATTCCTATAGTAAAAATCATTGGCAATGCATTCCTATAGTAAAAATCATTGGCAATGCATTCCTGTAATGAAAATCATTTCCAATGCATTCCTGTAATGAAAATCATTTCCAATGCATTCCTATATTAAAAATCATTTCAAATGCATTCCTATAGTAAAAAATCATTTTCAATGCATTCCTATATTAAAATCATTTTCAATGCATTCCTATGTTAAAATCATTTCCAATGCTTTCCTATAATAAAAATCATTTTCAATGCATTCCTATAGTAAAAATCATTAATAATGTACTTCTATAGTAAAAATCATTGGCAATACATTCCTATAGGAAAAAATCATTAATAATGTACTACTATAGTAAAAATCATTTCCAATGCATTCCTATGCTAAAATCATGAGCAGTGCATTATCCTTCTAATTACCTTTAAACCTCTTCCTTTTTGTGGACGCTTTCTTGTTTTTATTTCCCTGTAGAAAAGTTGTTTGGTGTTGCTTCTGGTTAGGGATTATTATTGTTTTAATGCTCTTGCATTCAAGTCTTTGTATTACAACGATGTCTGGAATCAAAGACTACCATTTGATGTTAAGAATGCGCCCCAGATATATTTTTTTTTATGGGATCGCTCAAGCCATTTTATATGTCCCCGGTAAAGTTGTCCATATTTCAGAAGAGTAGAACCAGGTAGGTTATGACAAGGGCTGAGTATACACTTACTTTAGTCGTGATGATAATGCTTCCATCTAAACAGATTCTAATTTCTAATTTACCAAGCGTAACACTTTCCTTTTGAGTGCGTGAACCTATGCCAGCATCCAGGGCACTATATTTTGATATAATACTTCCAACGTATTGGAAGGTGTCAACAACTTCTAGCCTGGTATTTTTCACAAGTATTGTTGGCTCTTTGTAGAGCACGCCAGTTGGAGGAGTAAACATTACTTTTGGTTTTGGCTAATCCTCAGTCCAAAAGAATCACAAGCGGCAGAGAAACGATCCATTATGAGATGCAAATCCTCCACAGTCTGAATCATCGGCATACATCAAATCTCAGATCACGTACTCAATGGTTCTTGGATTTGGTGTTGAAACATTATTGCCTGGTATACTACACTTTTAACCTAACAATTTCCTTTCAAAGGGCAACTGAATCGCAATAGCTACCACTTTGCTCCTGTATAATGCTTCTTTTCTGTTGTACATTTTTACTTGTTTTTCCACGTTAGGCAGCTCACTGCAAACATATTTTTGTTTTGATTTCAAATATACATTTTTTTATATTTCATTTTATTCTGAAATGAGACTTATACGGTAGCTAATGTTTTGGAGAAAAGTTAAGAAAATAATTTTTTCTGACTTATTTTGAAAATTAATGGCAATAATGATTTTAGTCATGTGATAGAACTCATAGATTGAAACCATGAGGTTTAATTTAATCTCCTGTTTAGTTGTCGGTACCAGCAAAAAGTAGGTATGGTTAAAGCACTCCTATTCTTCGTATAGCACTGAGGATTAAAGGTGGTTGTAAAAAAGAAGCCAGGAAGAATGCTTTGGATGAATAATGATCATATGATATATTTATAGTTTAATTATTCAGTCATGAAGCATTTTGGAAACAATGATGTAACAGACTTAGATAGATAGATAGATAGATAGATAGATAGATAGATAGATAATTGACTGACACAGATAGATAGATAGATAGATAGATAGATAGATAGATAGATAGATAGGTAACATATAGATAAGTAACGGACATAGATAGATAGATAGATGACAGACACAGATAGATAACATATAGATAAGTAACGGAGATAGATAGATAGATAGATAGATAGATAATAGATAGATACAGA